TCGACAGCGCACGACCGATTTCGCCCTTCTTGGGGCTCATCAGGTAGGCGCAGTCCCCGAGTTTGCGTCAACCTTGTGATCTACTTGAACCCAAATCGGACTGCTTTCGAGCAATACACTCATTTGCAAATCAATTTGGTTTTCACGAGAGACTCAACTGAATAGCTCGTTTATGATATTCTATAACTGAATGTGCTGCACACAGGCCGCCTCATGATTCAGCTGGCACGATACTCGAGATATCGCAGAATCTTTTCGTAAAGGTCAGAATCAGCTGTGTAGTCATAAACAACTATACAAGAATATACCGATCACATCTGTCAAGAAATGAGTTGCGAAGAAACGTTCCAGAGTGGAATTATGTCAGAATGGACAGGATTTCTGGATGAATACAAATAAATGATGAGTATCAACATATAGCACTAACTTCCACCAAGTTTAAACACTTTCAATTTTTAAGCCTTCATACCGAGGTAATGAACTTACTTTTTATGAGGGGAATGTAAGGCTCTGTGATTCCCTTCCTCTCCACTGGCTAAAGCAGCCAAGGAGTTTGTTGTGCCAGTAGCGTTGAGTTTGTTCAGAGTTCTGACACCCCGTTTCCAGAGTGGGAAGTCTACAGCCAGATTATTATGCTGAGATGTCTCCAATATGTCATCCTCCTTGATTTTCATTATTTCTCTAGCGTTATTTTGATGACCAGATGATTCATAGAAGCCTTTTGAGGAATTTGATATGTATAACCGATTGAATCGTTCGTGTGACCCAAAGTGCGACCGAACAAAAGCAGGTGCACGTAGAGACATATCTTTCTGAAAAACAATGTCGTCGGGCATTGGTATTCTGAGTGAGAGTTCTTCAAAACCTTGAATCCAAGGATCCAGATCGAGACGTATCCTAATGAAATAGCTATTAAGGCGAAAGCGCGGGGAAAAGCAAAGGAACGAAATTCACATCCTTATTTAATAGAAAAACACAAATCACAAGTATATGACTTGCAACTGTTTGCCATTTGAACTGAGAAATCTTCGTGCGACAACGGCGTAGTTAGTTTGGGTGGCTAGAGGAATTTATCAAAACGATTGGTATTCACTGTCCTTTTGGTGACGGTTACAGTTTCGTGAGGTGGAAAATCACACTGACTAAGAGTATTCAGTCCACAAGCCAGCTGTCCTATTTTGGATAATTCTGGGAACTCAGCCTCTGTAAACCGCTTTCGACTCAGCCACAAGTATATCCACATTGTTCGATGACCACCAGGATTTTCTGACTAGGTGGCCACTGTTACACCACAGTGCCTAGCATAGAGATTCTTAGCCCCACCACCGAAGTAACATCTCAATAGCTTTCTACTTATCTACAGTTTGTTAGTTACATCCATCAGAAATCATTTACTCTATATAGGGATAGCAACGAAAAAAGTGACGAGATTCGCTTGCTTTGTCACCGCATTTAAAATTAGGTAGCAAAGTAAAAACATTTGAGAAAAGTGCCAACTACGTGCCGGCGTTCACATTTTTCATTGGGCAACAGCATGAGGAATGACTGATCAGCACATGCGAGAGTTTTGTTACTTTGCCTTGCTACTGATAAGGACCGGTAGACATCTTAAGGATCAAGGCATAATGGAGTTCTGCAGGTATTTTGGAAGGTGCCTGGCATCATATTCTACCAATGTAGTTGCCACACAGCACCAGCAGAACCATGCTAGTTGACTTACCAGTAGTTAACCAGATGATTAGATAACGCGAAACAGTTAAGTCAAATTTGTCTTGTAATGATGTGCTTCCTGCTCTCATTCGAATTCTGAAGGGAACCGGGTGTATAAAAGGACGTAAGCGATAGTTCCGGTGTATGGTGGATGAACCCAGAGTAGTGCCGATCTCATCTAGGTGGCGGATTGGGTGAGATACACACATTAACCCCATGATTGCGCAGCTACTCACAAGTAGTCAGATGTGCCAGCATTTTTTACCTAGACCGGTGAGCGAAACAGTTCATTTGCTCGATGAACCACTTGTCAACTCTAACTAAGTACTGCCTTTTGATAACGCACCGAGCTCGTTTACGACAGAAGAAATAAATTAAAGCATTGAAGGTTTACCATTTCCCAATTGCTAATTGTCGTTCACCTACGCACTTCCTATTTCATAAGCAGCAGTGGGACGGACAAAGGAAACCGTGTGTAGCAGCTCCTATCAAGCCATTCCGCTTTAAGGTGACCGATTTTGTTGAAAAAAAGGTGCTGCATATAAACGGACTTATCAGAAGTACTAACAATATACCAAGGTGGTCTCTCGTAAAATCACCCCTGGTCTGCAAAACAATGATGCTGAGAGTGCAAGTAAAAGACCTTAGCGAAATACACTCATTTGCATTTGAAGAGAACTCTTTCTGTTGCGTTTTGACGAAGTTGGTGTATCGTCCCCAATACCAGGCCATCTTCTCAAACGTGACCAACTGTATTATCTGGGAGAAAGTACGCTGTGTGCATGTCAATCTAAGGGGAATGTGTTCAGGACAACGCATCCATTTTTTTCAGACTATTGTATTCCCCATGAGTTTAGCCTAAACACAGGATAAAACAGTAATAGTAGAAACAGTATTATGTCTTGGAGATGCAATCAGCCTTCTGCTAGCTGTGTGATCGTATTAGACGGAGAGACGGTCTCTGTACTGGAGCGCAATTCTTAGAGTAAAATTATGAAAGAACTGTCTCGAACATGTTAAATATTGCTTTGCCTTTGTGCTTTCAGTTGCTCACCTTGTGTAGTCCGGATTATCACAGGGAGCGAGCATTTTGATATCAACCTGATCAGGTGATAAGACAAGTACATGTCGTAACGGTCGAGGTAGAGTGATCGGCTTGACCAGGAAGAGAGGGACATGTGATTCCTCGTCATGGGTTCGCAGACGGACACTGCCGTTCGAGCACTGAAGACCGGACAATATCGAGGTGCATTTACTAACAACAATGGGCCACTTCGATGAGAACAGCATCGCTTTTTCCCATGATGATCCGAAAGCTTCACACGAAATGGTTTCTTGCTCCTTGGACAATCGTGGAGCGGTTTTGGGACTTGATAGATGAAAAAATTTGAAATTAGAGTTTTACAACCTAGTGAGCATAAGTTGTCAACTGACCAGTAAGAGTGAACAAGGGAGTTACACTTGAGTCACCAGTCGAACTGAGAAGCGACTGGATAGAAATGAACAAAAAGAGAGCTGACTGTCTTCGGTGTTTTGCTGAGTATATCGTTTGGATACATTACTCTGAGGTGGCAAGATGGATTTCAGAATGGTGACTTGCCTAAGTGTGAAAATACCGGAAATGTCGATTTATCAGTATCCGTCAAACATCCCTGCAAAATATTGAGAACCGTAGTGGATTGTCACTTCTTAGGTTCATCAGTCCGCGCTCAAACTGTTGTTGAACTGTAAGTGAGAGGTCTCAAAACTACGACCCGTTGGCCAGATCTAGATATCAGCTTCTGTATACCAGTGCATAAATCAAGTCTATCTTGCTCAAACCAACAGGGGGCGCGTTGATCGGAGCACTATTGGGATATATTATTATTTGTTCTTTTAAGATTTTTCGAAAGATAACTCGGTAAGCAATGGATGGTAAAAGGTTGTCGGCTTCGATGATTCACGCTGAAAGAAAACGACTGAAACTTCTTCCTCGAGCTCTTTTTGAACTGGACTCTCAATTCAATGTAATAGAAGCCGCAGCATTGGGGAAAAATTAGGGTTACGCTTTTGAAAAGTGCCTAACGGGTACTTCTAGCACTTAGAAAGGATAAAAATTAAAAAAAACCACCGTTGACTTTCGTAATGAAATTTTTAATGATTTGGATGTGTGGTTTCATTCTTATGGAATTATACCCGGGGGTGGCCTTCATCTATACAACGAAAAATAAAGGGTACTGATTTTGGTATGATACTGCTTACTGGAATGCTGTAAACCTGCACATAGCTCATCAACGCCCGTGCCCTTTTGAAGATGATCAGACAAATCCAAGGAGCTGATTTCTGTCAGTATTCCTCAGGAATTTTTATCAGATTGAGTATATTTGGAGAAAAAACATCAAATTTCGAACTGAAATTGTGATCGGACCTAAAACGTAAAGAAGGGAAATTGATTTGAATCTCGGTTAATATCAGTCACTATTTTTTCTAAAATGAACGTTTATTCCTCCAAAGCTACTGAGCCGCCTTAAGCCCCTTTGCATTCAGTATTGGGAACATTCTGACTACTTCTAATAATCAAGCGACATGTTAGAGGAGAGCCGTAAGAACAAAGACCTCTGTGATGTATGTTGGTGGTTAGCAGAGGAGAAAGCTGTTACAGAAACCTGCTTGTATGTGCTTCGTTTGGAAATTGCGCGTATAGTACTTACAAGGATAAAGTGCGTCAGACGGCATTAGATTATACTAAACTGAGTGATAATTGCCAAGAATTTATCTGGCTGTCGGTCTGCTCGCTGAGTTTGGCAGTTTGGTTGCGGACGTTTCCCCACCAATCGAGGTGATGTCCTCAATGCGACAGTGCATCCGAGCCACCTTTTGTTGAGGTTCACCGTCACGCACTTATTTTGTCATTAGCTACCTAGATAAACACCGAACTTCTTACTTTCCAAAAAGGCCGTAATCTGACTCCATTTTCATGCTTAGAATAGTTTGAGGAATCCTACTGTACATGATAATGAAGGCCATAACTAATTCAAAGAACACTACCCTCAGCGGAGCTAGGCATGAGCGGTATTTCAGAAGGCTCTTATGGATAAAGATATTTGCAGCTGTTTTATTGCTGAAGCTCCCGTAGCGAACGATATCAATACATCGGTGGGTCGAAGATCTCATAGTTGTGTGTAGCAATTATGTATACAGCATAAATTTCGAGCCTGCTGTGCATCTAGGGCTGTAGGCCAAAATTGCTGGGCCATGTGTTACATATGTCAAATTGACACTTGCCCGGAAAACAGCGCTGTTTTCTGTGCCTAATTGAGATTGGCGGAAAACCGGACGAAATTTGGTACGGCATAAGAATATGAAGGAAATCACGAAAATTTAGATATTTTTGCTGATGCTCGCCTACCCGGCCCTCCTTGTGCCTGGCTATGGAGACAGTGGACGAAATAGCAGTCAACCGACGTCAGTGGCGTCAACGCTGTGAGTTTCTGTCCGGATTGTCTGGCTGAATGCCGGAGTGGAGGCCAAACGGAGACTTATGGTAAGCTAGCCGTAGTTCTCCCTCCGTGCACCTTTTTCCTCTCTGCGTTATGAGGTTTTATTCAAGTAAATTATTATGGTTCTATGGCTGTTAAACACTACCGTTCTTCTCTAGTGTCGCTGTCGATGATGATGATGATGATGATGATGATGATGATGATGATGGTGACGCTTAGAATGCATCACACCAAACCACATAACACGACACGACACAACACAGCAAAACACCCCACCAAGTGATCCATATAGCTCCTAAATATCAATACGCCTCTCAGGCTGTCTTGTTTCCATTACCCGATCATATAACTAGCCTACATACCCATGCTAAACCAGTCTGTCACTGAGATGGCACAGTCAAATGCAATCAAGTTGGTGACTTCTTGCGTATTCTTTCATCCATTGTACACCAGTCTGTAGACAATTTATTACTTCCTAGTCATACATTAACAGAACTGAATGGTGAAATTTGTGGAACCAAGTGCATCTGAAGAGCCATTAGAGGGACGAAACAACTAATGGGCTCTCGAGGAGTTTTCGTAGATATTATGAGCGGCATGCTCCATCAATAAAGCACTGCGGTGTCCCGGATATTATACAAAGGGAAATATACGGCGGCCTCTGTGCAGGACATTAAGCTAAAGAATAACATTAGAGAGAGACTCATTGAAATATCTCGTCGACAATATAATCCATAAATGGGTGTACTTCGTCAATTACTTATGATCAGTCGATCATGTAGGACGGAAAATCACAGTCTAAGATTATTGGTGAGTCAAGAGAAGGGCAAACTCATGAGCTATTTGTTTCGTCAAGAAATATAAAGTTCCTAATAGTTGTCAACAGTTAAGACGGTAAGTTTGCAGCGAGATGCGCCCAACTCTGCTTGTGTTCACTGAAGACTACGTTCTGATTCCGATATCATGCAGATCACTTCGCTTTGTACTCGGAATAGCGGAAACAGAGTATATTATCATGAGTACAGACTCTTCAATTAGAACGATAGTTCACCATTATCATCATCATCAAACTCAGCAGCACTGTATGCTGCTGATTCACTGTATGTGACAGTGATGCTTCACTCCGTACAACCATTAGTATATATATATAGCCTTATATTAAAAAGAAGAGGAAAGCAGCGGGTGAGGGAGGTGATTTAGTGCTGGGTTATGTCATATATTCTGAGGTGCTAAGGAAGGAACTTCAAGAATGCAGGACGTCTGTATGTGTGGCGATGCCATAATACCCGACAGAGTTTAAAGATGTGGTCGACGCAGCCTATACCCAGTCCAAATTCTGCTTGCCTGTAACGATTCAAGGTTTCGTGTGCCACTGTGGGACGACAGAAATCGGTGACATCAGAAGCCTTGTCACAACGGGAGTCAAAATAACGCCTTTGTTGTTACTACATTCAATGCAAGTACCCTTCTTGAAAATGGGCATTATCGATTCACTCCAGTTGTCTAGGACGGTCTCTTTCCCCAAGATAAACTCAACTAGACTAGACAGGCGTTGGCTGAGGGACTCATCACCGTCCTTGAACAGAACAAGTGGAAGGTCGTCAGGATCAGCAGCACGATGACACTCGAGTGTAGATATACACTGGAACACTTCTGAGATTGCGGGCGGCCCCGTATTCTCAGTCCACCTTTCTCTTAAATGCCAGGATTCCGGACTGGGACTAGCAGGTCGCCAACTCAACTGCCTTGGAATAGTTGTAGGAACACGTAATTTTGATTAGGTTGATTATTTGAACAAACTTTTCAGCTGTGCCGGAATTCTGTCCGCAGTCAAGTACTAGGATCTTTCTCAATAGTATATTTCCGATGCTGAACTCTGGACTGACCCGCGAACAAGGAACTGTGCATCCAGTTGTAGATGACCATTTTATTGCACACATGCTTACAGTTTGTAGGTCGAAAAAGAGCAAAGAGATCTTACGCTTGGAAAAAACCAGCTGGGTACCGAATACTTTTCAACAATGAACACACCTTGGAAGGCGCTTGATTAGTCCAGAATTATGGGATGGAGTGAGTGTTGAGTGATGCAGTCAATTCGTATTCGAAAATGCGTACAAGTTTCTCTTCGTATGAATAGAGTTTAATGGGTAAAATGAATCAAGATTCGTACCGAATGTCGTTTGGTATCATTTCGACTTCTGAATAGTCTTGTTGTTTTTCCACACATGCGGCCTGTGATTTAAGGCGTTGAGTATTCTTCAAACCTTGTTGGTCGTCGACACTTTGTAGCAGGTCAGTCGCACCGATTCCATCACCGCAAATTACAACAGTACTTGGAGGATTCGGAACAGCGGAATGCGAAAATAGATGTATCTCTTCAATCGGCATGTCCACTTTCTTGGTGAATAACATGGGCAAATGAGGAGAATGAGGTGCTACTCTCTTTGGCGTGAGGCTTCCTGGAACAGCTAACTGTCCGACAACAGTTGAAGGATTCTGGGGTCGAAAACTCTCCTCACCTGACAGTGTTGAAAATGATTCAGTGATAAAAGTGCTTGACACTGACGTAGTTTGTTCAGACGAACCGTCAAGGGACCTTCAAAGGATAAAGTCAAAACAATAAAAGTTAGCAAATTTAGTTGAGGTGCTACAGTGTCAAAATTTATGTGGGTTTGGACGACACTCTGATTTCACGCAATAACAACACCCCACCACGTTGTTTCTACGGCGCATTCCTGGCTCTATTGACCTCCCCAGATTCGGCTATGAAAATCCCATTGGCTCAGATGTGTGTCAACTAATTTTAGCTGCACTCATTGCTTTCGAAAAAGCAAACACTGACGGACGATTTCAAAAGTGCAAACGAGAAATAGGATGGTGTTTTACCAGCGGTTTCCAGGGAGCACATGATTGTAAACTATTTTTGGGCATTTGATCGGATATATTTGTCCCCTTACAGGAGAGGCGTCTCGAATGAGGCGATTTCTTCTGCTTGGCGGGATGTCCTTGCAAGGAATTCGCTAACAGAGAACGCTTCAGTTTGGTACCCTTTAAGCGATGGCATCACGTGAATGACAGCCTCAGATGAAAGGAGAATGAGGCAAGTACTACATTCCACTTCTGTAAGGAACACTTCTGTAAGACCACCAAGACTGGTTCTAAGCTCTGTGTTATTTGGTGTCAAAAACTAGTGACTGATGTCGATTGCATATTTAGGAGCTGCGTTCTCTGGGTTTAAAAAATTCAGTATAGAAACTGATACCTAACTTGGATCAGCAAACTAAACGCTGGTTGGCCTCACTTTGGAAGTGTGCACATGCCTGACAATGATACCGGAAAGCATGTCCTCAAGAAGAAGACTATAATTCTTACTTGGAAAAGGAGTATAGAGGAGATCAGGAAACGCCTGGGTGCTGTCGGTGGTAATCGCCTTCCAGGATGGGGACCGCGTGATCCTCTCTGTGCCTGGTTGGAGACACTATAAGATATGGCTGCCAACCAATGTCAGTGGCGTTCTTGTTGTCAGTTTCTATCTAGATTGCCTGAGTGAATGTCTGGAGGTGTGGGCACCTCGGAATGATTGTGGTAAGCTAGCATTAAGTCCCTTCCCTGTCCACCTTTAGTCTTTTCTTGACAATAAGGCTTTCAAATAAATCATGGTTGTACGTCAGTGAAGCATTGGTGTTGAACGCTGATGTCACGCTGTCGATGATGATGATGATGAAGCGTATTGGAGAGAGCCACCAACGGTGGAAACCTTTCAAGGATCAGTTATTTGGACGGTTCGTCTAACGATACCTATGGTAAGCGTTGTGGTCATGTGAAAGCCAAGTTGCGCGGTGAAGCAGAAACAGATGGGTGTATTAACAGTACGAGTACTTATTTTTGATGCAACCTGGAGAATTGATGGCTTTGACCGCAAAAATTCAGAAGTTACGTAAATCTGATTCCCATCTATAAGGTCTCAGGTATAGTGGGGTGGACCTGGTACTGTCCCTCTGTTTACTAGAGCAAATAAACACAAGATTAAATGAATGGATATGCAAACAGATGAATGCATCTGCGAATGAAAGAAGAAAAGTAACATAGAAAGCAGATGTCCGTAATCAAGTAACAGTTCACTTAACTTGGAAGCTGTATTGAATATCAAAGGCACAAATTGATAAAAAGAATGCATTGCACGACTAAGCTGACGTTTAGTGAGGGAGGAACTGGATTTCTGACTAATCAGTCTAGACGACTGGACTTGGTTGTCTATTCACAGGTGTTGCAAAAACCAGGAGGAGAATAGCCCTGAAGCAGTGGATGGGGACCTCAAGGAGGCTTCGGAAAGTCCACCTGATTTTGGTGCCACCTCATGGGCTTATCTAAGTGGCATCCCTTTGCTTTTTTCTGGAGACTATACTATACTATACTATACTATACTATACTATACTATACTATACTATACTATACTATACTATACTATACTATACTATACTATACTATACTATACTATACTATACTATACTATACTATACTATACTATACTATACTATACTATACTATACTATACTATACTATACTATACTATACTATACTATACTATACTATACTATACTATACTATACTATACTATACTATACTATACTATACTATACTATACTATACTATACTATACTATACTATACTATACTATACTATACTATACTATACTATACTATACTATACTATACTATACTATACTATACTATACTATACTATACTATACTATACTATACTATACTATACTATACTATACTATACTATACTATACTATACTATACTATACTATACTATACTATACTATACTATACTATACTATACTATACTATACTATACTATACTATACTATACTATACTATACTATACTATACTATACTATACTATACGACATGCATGTTGCCTGCCTTTACTCAGGTTGTCAGGGGAAACGTTGAAAATTCTATGGTTCTCAAGTGATTGCAAAGGGCTGAAGCCAAGCACCCTTCCCTGCCACTTCATTCTAAATCTACATGGTGGTTTGACTAAATTGGCATGCCTGTATTGGATTGCTGATTGGGAAGTGGACAAACAAATCAATGGGTGGATGAACGAATTAGTCAGGGTGTTGTGCAAGACGTGTTGTTACAACAGCTCTGAAAACTGCCCATGTGATTCAGCCTTATTTGTAGTGGATGGAGATCAGATGAATAAGTGGTTGTAGAGCTTCGAAAGGCCAAAACATGACTTGCTCTCATTAAAGAATTCTCACAGTTGGTAGAGCATTAGGAAAACTAAGAACGTTGGTATTATAGATAATTTACATCTGTTTGCTGCCTTCATAATAACTAGTGCAGTTTGTGTACAAATTATTCAGGGATGGTCACTTGACGATTGCGTACCCATGAGTCTGATATAGGAGATAGTTTGCTCACCGACTAGGACCTGTTGATTCGTGTTCTCGTTGTAACGATACGGCTTTGGGGCTGCCTGATTCAGTGGCCTGCGAAGAGAGTGAACGGTTCGAGTCCATATTCTGATACTTTATATCGTGATTTCCAAACCAGTGAAGACCGCCACTCTGGAGATCTGGCATAGTTCCCACCTGCTCTACATCCGCCTCCGAATTCAAAGACGACCGCAACCAACGGAAAGAATTTGTGCAGCACGTTGGAGAATCTGGTTCTGCATCATCCACTCCGGTCGGAATGCAAAGAAATGATTTGCTTTCGATGTGGTCTTCAAGAGTGCTTCTTAATGGCGACGTTCGAACACCATCTGTGGTATTTGGTCTTTGCAAACTTGTATCTCTAAGTTGTGATATGGACTGCAGTAACCTGTGGACACAAGGGCGATGCGCAGGCACACACTGAACAAAAAGAATTGCTGGAGCTGGCCTAAAAGGATTTGGGGTGCGCAAGAAACAAAAAACAGACAAAGTACTCTACTTATGGGGTTACTGGAGACTCTTTGACAACCCACTACCGGTTTCGCCCTTCTCAGGATTCATCAGGATGGTTCGGTCCCGGAGTTTTCGTCAAATCTGTGATCTGATGAAACCTAGATTGCACGAAATTATCTAAATGCACTCATTTGCATACCATCCAGCTGAATCTCTCGTCTATACATGTACTGCGATGTCTTGAATATCGTGCCAGCTGGAAAATCAGCCTGCCTGATGCAGCAGATTCGGTTACTCAAAAATACCATAAACAAGAGATTCAGCTGGGTTTTGGGTAAGTCTTTTGTCAAAACCAAATTGTTTTGCTAAAAAATAATTTATATAAGAACTCAGTAATAAATAATCGGTGGAGATGCGAATTGGATCATTGTCGTAAATGTGGGAAAGCAGTAGCACCTGTGGGGTTCAACGCCTTACAAAATCTGGATATCAGGGGGAGAGGTTCGACTAGACGACACAAGACATGATAACCTAGGATGGAACGGTCGGTCGAGACACATAAACAGCAGCTTTTGTTATGTTTTGAACACTCGTAATCCAGAACTACAAGATCTCTAACGTGTGAAAGCGTCCCACGATGTAGCAAATAAAGTTACTCATTATATATTTTAGTGTCTGTCAGACGCCCGTTGAACTGTTCCCCAAGACTTACATATAAATTTGATTTTTATGAAATGCGAGGACACAATAAAGGCCGAACTCAAGTGACACACAGATATCCTATTGCTTGGATCACCGGGTTATATGAATGGATTCTCGTAAGTGTAAGGAGAGGTTGAAACCTGATAAACTGGTATTCTTAGATCCTCTTATTATGGAAAGATTAGAGTGGCAATAAATTTGAGTGACTGAGGTAGATCGTGGTAAAACTTAGATTTAAGCAGTGGTCGTTGATCAATCACTAACGGCCTTCTTGCCAGCCTGCTGAAGGTTTCATCCACTAAAGAATGCATGTACCATTAACAATAATAGCTTATCGAAACGAAAAGGCGAAGGCCTTGCCTTGAGCTGAGAATTGACAGTCCCTTCTGATAGTTCACCTACTTACCGTCGGAAAAAGCTACTCCTGTGATTCCACGTGAATCTCGCACCAAAGTTTCTATATGACCGAGCCCAGTTCGCTGCATACTTCCGCTGGCACCTGGACTTTCAGGTCACATAAACAACTACTATCTCCATCTTGTTGAAGTAACAGTTGTGTAGGATCTGACACTCCAAGCCTCTGGAGTCTTACTTCGGGTTTCTTGGAGGTACATAGATTTCAGCAGGATTCCAAATTTCATTCGACCTCTGAGCCACTGTTTTTCATATGCATTACGCTTGCTCAATTACAAAAGGGCCCGATCATTGGTGTGGTGGTGTGAAAGTTAGCAATAAAACAGAGGAAAATAGCGGCATTTCTTAAAAAACGCAGGTCCTATTTGGCAAAACCTTTTAGGATTAACAAATCGACTAAATCTTTCAGGCTAAATTAATGACATAACTGTCAGAGAATGAATCGTTACTCACGACGCTTTATCTCCCCGGAGTA